ATTTTTTAACATTAACCAAACTTACTGAAACCTCAAAAAAATCCATTTGGGATTGTTCTGAATGAAGGTTCAAGATGGTTTCTGTTTTAGCCCAAGTGCTTTCTTCATCCCTGTGCAGCTGAGGGAATTCAAAAGCACCTAACACGCGGTTGGTGATATGATATAATGCTGATTTATAATAATTGCATATTACTCAGTGTAAGGTTAGTTGTGACTCACTTGTCCAAAGCAGAGTCCAGTTACTCCTTTGGGGAAAAGGGTAAATCCACTTAATTTTGGCCAAGATTTGTCTGTGTGTGTGATCAGTTCCCACAAGAATGGTCGAGAAAACAATGTGGTCGGCTGGAAAATAAATGCTTGCTCCCAAGCCCACTGAAGTCAACGGGTATTTTTCCATTACTATCAATAGATGTTGGATCAGGCCCTAAATGAGGTGTCCGCTTTAAGATGCTTCCTGTCTAATAAAACATAGGCACACCATGTGACTCTGATGGCAGAATTTGGCCCTAAATCATCCTGTCACATCAGCTACACAGAGAAGTGCAATAATTCAAGTGGGTTATGACAGTCTGTTAAAGTGTGAGATAGCTCCTTTAAAAGGAAAAGAAAGCTACTAACCAGCGGTGTCAAAAAATCAGGTGATGAAAGAGAATGATCATGGAGAGTTTTTCACTCAGTTCTACAGCAACAAACTCTCCCAATCACAGAAGAGGACACCAGTATTCTAAGCACTTCTTTTTGTACATGATAAGTTGCCTCATGTAGTATAATCTTATTATTCAAAATCATTGCCTGAGGGAGCTCAGATACCATCGCAATTAGTGCATTATAAATATATAGATAGGTCAATTGATACCTTACCTACATCACAGTATTGATTTAGAAGTATATTTAAAACACTGAGATTCCCCCTTATGAAAAGATCCCCTACAGACATACGAAGTATTATTCAATATTAGGGTTTCCTTTATTTCACTGAATGCCACTACTAACACAATAGGTGAGGTTGTAAAACACTTTCAGTTTCAACTGTTTGTTTTGATATCCTTACAACTAATTTTTTAAGTTGGCTTTTCTGTTTTTGGTCTTTTCTGAAAAGAACATGAGATAAAAAGAATGAGGAGTACTTGTGGCACCTTAGAGATGAACAAATTTATTTGAGCATAAGCTTTCGTGGGCTAAAACCCACTTTATCGGATGCATGAAGAGGAAAATACAGTAGGAAGATATATATATATATATATATATGTACACAGATAACATGAAAAAATGGGTGTTGCCATACACACTAAAACAAGAGTGATCAATTAAGGTGAGCTATTATCAGCAGGAGAAAAAAAACCTTTTGTAGTGATAATCATAGAATATCAGGGTTGGAAGGACCTCAGGAGGTCATCTAGTCCAACCCCCTGCTCAAAGCAGGACCAATCCCCAACTAAATCATCCCAGCCAGGGCTTTGTCAAGCCTGACCTTAAAAACTTCTGAGGAAGGAGATTCCACCACCTCCCTAGGTAACGCATTCCAGTGTTTCACCACTCCTAGTGAAAAGGTTTTTCCAAATATCCAACCTAAACCTCCCCCACTGCAACTTGAGACCATTACTCCTCGTTCTGTCATCTGCTACCACTGAGAACAGTCTAGATCCATCCTCTTTGGAACCCCCTTTCAGGTAGTTGAAAGCAGCTATCAAATCCCCCCTCATTCTTCTCTTCCACAGACTAAACAATCCCAGTTCCCTCAGCCTCTCCTCATAAGTCATGTGTTCCAGTCCCCTAACCATTTTTTTGCCCTAAGCAGGATGTTTTCCAATTTTTCCACATCCTTCTTGTAGTGTATGGCCCAAAACTGGACACAGTACTCCAGATGAGGCCTCACCAAACTCGAATAGAGGGGAACGATCACGTCCCTCGATCTGCTGGCAATGTCCCTACTTATACATTCCAAAATGCCATTGGCCTTCTTGGCAACAATGGCACACTGTTGACTCATATCCAGCGTCTTGTTCACTGTAACCCCTACGTCCTGTACTGCAGAACTACTGCCGAGGCATTTGGTCCCTAGTCTGTAGCAGTGCATGGGATTCTTCCATCCTAAGTGCAGGACTCTGCACTTGTCCTTGTTGAACCTCATCAGATTTATTTTGGCCCAATCCTCTAATTTGTCTAGGGCCCTCTGTATCCTATCCCTACCCTCCAGCTTATCTACCTCTCCTCCCAGTTTAGTGTCATCTGCAAACTTGCTGAGGGTGCAATCCACACCATCCTCCAGATCATTTATGAAGATATTGAACAAAACCGGCCCGAGGACCGACCCCTGGGGCACTCCACTTAATACCGGCTGCCAACTAGACATGGAACCATTGATCACTACCCATTGAGCCCGACAATCTAGCCAGGTTTCTATCCATCTTATAGTCCATTCATCCAGCCCATACTTCTTTAACTTACTGGCAAGAATACTGTGGGAGGCCGTGTCAAAAGCTTTGCTAAAGTCAAGGAACAACACGTCCACTGCTTTCCCCTCATCCACAGAGCCAGTTATTACGTCATAGAAGGCAATTAGATTAGTCAGGCATGACTTGCCCTTGGTGAATCCATGCTGACTGTTCCTGATCACTTTCCTCTCCTCTAAGGACTTCAGAATTGATTCGTCGAGGACCTGCTCCATGATTTTTCCAGGGACTGAGGTAAGGCTGACTGGCCTGTAGTTCTCTGGATCCTCCTTCTTCCCTTTTTTAAAGATGGGCACTACATTAGCCTTTTTCCAGTCATCTCGGACCTCCCCTGATCGCAATGAGTTTTCAAAGATAATGGCCAATGGCTCTGCAATCACATCCGCCAACTTCTTTAGCACTCTCGGATGCAGTGCATCTGGCCCCATGGGCTTGTGTTCACCCAGCTTTTTCTAAATAGTCCCAAACCACTTCTTTCTTCCAAGAGGGCTGGTCACCTCCTCCCCATGTTGTGCTGCCCAGTGCAGCTGTCTGGGAGCTGACCTTGTTCGTGAAGACAGAGGCAAAAAAAAAGCATTGAGTACATTAATGTTTTCCACATCCTCTGTCACTAGGTTGCCTCTCTCATTCAGTAAGGGGCCCACACTTTCCTTGACTTTCTTCTTGTTGCTAACATACTTGAAAAAACCCTTCTTGTTACTCTTAACATCTCTTGCTAGAGGCAACTCCAGGTGTGATTTGGCCTTCCTGTTTTCACTCCTGCATGCCCAAGCAATATTTGTATACTCTTCCCTGGTCATTTGTCCAATCTTCCACTTCTTGTAAGCTTCTTTTTTGTGTTTAAGATCAGCGAGGATTTCACTGTGAAGCCAAGCTGGTTGCCTGCCATATTTACTATTCCTTCTACACATTGGGATGGTTTGTCCCTGTAACCTCAATAAGGCTTCTTTAAAATACAGCCAGCTCTCCTAGACTCCTTTCCCCCTCATGTTATTCTCCCAGGGGATCCTGTCCATCAGTTCCCTGAGGTTGTCAAAGTCTGCTTTTCTGAAGTCCAGGGTCCGTATTCTGCTGCTCTCCTTTCTTCCTTGTGTCAGGATCCTGAACTTGACCATCTCATGGTCACTGTCTCCCAGGTTCCCATCCACTTTTGCTTCCCCTACTAATTCGTCCCGGTTTGTGAGCAGCAGGTCAAGAAGAGCTCTGCCCCTAGTTGGTTCCTCCAGCACTCGCACCAGGAAATTGTTCCCTACACTTTCCAAAAACTTCCTGGATTGTCTGTGCACCGCTGTATTGCTCTCCCAGCAGATATCAGGGTGATTGAAGTCTCCCATAAGAACCAGGGCCTGCAATCTAGTAACTTGCGTTAGTTGCCGGAAGAAAGCCTCGTCCACCTCATCCCCTTGGTCCGGTGATCGATAGCAGACTCCCACCACAACATCACCCTTGCTGCTCACGCTTCTAAACTTAATCCAGAGACACTCAAGTTTTTCTGCAGTTTCATACCAGAGCTCTGAGCAGTCATACTGCTCTCTTACATACAATGCAACTCCCCCACCTTTTCTGCCCTGCCTGTCCTTCCTGAACAGTTTATATCCATCCATGACAGTGCTCCAGTCAGGTGAGTTATCCCACCAAGTCTCTGTTATTCCAATCACATCATAATTCCTTAACTGTGCCAGGACTTCCAGTTCTCCCTGCTTGTTTCCCAGGCTTCTTGCATTTGTGTATAGGCACTTGAGATAACTTGCTGTTTGTCCTGCTTTCTTAGTATGAGGCAGGAGCCCTCCCCTTTCACGCTTTCCTGCTCGTGCTTCCTCCCGGTATCCCACATCCCCACTTACCTCAGGGCTTTGGTCTCCTTCCCCCTGTGAACCTAATTTAAAGCCCTCCTCACTGGGTTAGCCAGACTGCTTGCAAAGATGCTCTTCCCTCTCTTCATTAGGTGGAGCCCGTCTCTGCCTAGCACTCCTCCTTCTTGGAACACCATCCCATGGTCAAAGAATCCAAAGCCTTCTCTCCAACACCACCTGCGTAGCCATTCATTGACTTCCACAATTCAACAGTCTCTACCCCGGCCTTTTCCTTCCATGGGGAGGATGGACGAGAACACCACTTGTGCCTCAAACTCCTTTATCCTTCTTCCCAGAGACACGTAGTCCGCAGTGATCTTCTCAAGGTCATTCTTGGCAGTATCATTGGTGCCTACATGGAGAAGCAGGAAGGGGTAGTGATCCGAGGGCTTGATGAGTCTCGGCAGTCTCTCCGTCACATCGTGAATCCTAGCTCCTGGCAAGCAGCAGACTCCTCGGTTTTCCCGGTCGGGGCGGCAAATAGATGACTCAGTCCCGATGAGGAGAGAGTCCCCGACCACCACCACCCACCTCCTCCTCTTGGGAGCGGTGGTCATGGAACCCCATCCCTAGGACAGTGCATCTCATGCCTTCCAATCGGCGGAGTCTCCTTCTGTTCCCTTCCCTCAGATGCATCATCTAGTCCACTCTCCGCATTAGTGCCTGTGGAGAGAACATGGAAATGGTTGCTTACCTCTATCTGTGCTGCTGGTACATGGACGCTCCCCTTTCTTCTTCTGGAGGTCACATGCTGCCAAATTTCTTCACCGTCCTCCTGTCCCCGCTGCGCAGCCTGCTCTGAATCTTCAGAACATTGTGTCCGTAGAAGCATATCCTGATGTCTGTCCAGGAAATCTTCAGTTTCTCTTATGCAACGCAGGGTCGATACTTGTTTCTCCAGACCTTGAACCTGCTCTTCCAATATGGAGACCAGCTTGCACTTTGTACAGACAAAGTCGCTTCTGTCCTGTGGAAGAAAGACAAACATGGCACATCCGGTGCAGGTCACAACAGCTGAACAATCCCCATCCATATTACCTTCCTTCTATGAGCTTCCTCAGGAGTTGTAATAACTACTCAGAGAAGCCGGCAAGATGTAAGTCTCAGTGGGCTCTCCCCAGGTAGATCCCAGGCAAACTCCCTCTGTTAGCCTCTCTGCTGTTCACGGCTCAGCTGGTTTGCAGCTGACTGGCTTTTTATAACAGTCAGGCCCACTCAAGGCTCACCTGGAACAAAGCACTCCCAATTCACACTTTTCAAACGAGCACCCTGTCAAACTGTCAAACTGTCCCCACAACAGACACTCAGATACTCACCAACACAGCCTCCCTAATGCAGTCCTTGGCATATCTCCTCTCAGACAGATCTCAGGCAAACTCCCTCTATTAGCCTCTCTGCTATTCACCGCTCAGGATGGCCCATTTCCAACAGTTGACAAGAAGGTGAGAGCAACAGTGTGGTAAGGGAGGGAATAAGCATGGGGAAATAGTTTTACTTTGTGTAATGACCCATCTACTCCCAGTCTTTATTCAAGGCTAATTTAATGGTGTCCAGTTTGCAAATTAATTCCAATTCAGCAGTCTCTCGTTGAAGTCTGTTTTTGTAGTTTTTTTGTTGTAATATTTTGACTTTCTCCTGCTGATAATAGCTCACTTCACCTTAATTGATCACTCTCGTTATGGCAACACCCATTTTTTCATGTTCTCTGTGTATATATATATCTTCCTGCTGTATTTTCACCGCATGCATCCGATGAATTGGGTTTAGGCCACGAAAGCTTATGCTCAAATAAATGTGTTAGTCTCTAAGGTGCCACAAGCACTCCTCGTTCTTTTTGCTGATACAGACTAATATGGCTACCACTCTGAAACATGAGATTAAAAAAAATTTCAGACATTCCATTACAGTGATAACTAATTGTAAGTGGGCAAAATTACATTAATTTTCTTTTTGCTTGCTCAGAAAAGTAATTTTATTTTCAAATAATATAACTGCCTGTATTACAATATCTGATATATGTTTATAAGGGACCTCCAGCCTGTGTCTTTTTGGAAGCAAAGTGCTCACTGTCTGACCAAATCCTAAAACTACTTAGCTGTACTTTCTCGTATTTTGCACAAAAGCTCTTATAAATATATATGTACAGCAAATAATTGCAACCCTTCAAATACTTACTAATGTTCACAGAGCACCCTTTTCTTAAAGATGCCATCCATGGATAAAGCCTGCTTCGTTGTACCAGGAAATTCTGTAACAACAGGACAGCACAGCTGCAGTCTCAGCAATGTGTACTGCATAACATTGTAACATCCTCAGTCTTGAAATATTTATACAGTGATCAGCTGCATCAGCATCCTGAATCACTCTGGAGACAGTTTGTAAAGAAGAGACCTTAGGGAACAGAAAATGTGAGCAGGAAGTGGATTCATTCACTCACACACACACAAAATAGGAATTGATACAAGAGGGGAACGGCGAACCGTGGCCACTGGGAGCTGTGGGCGGCCATGCAAATGTAAACAAACTGTCTGGTGGCCTGCCAGTAGATTGTCCTGACGGGCTGCAAGCTGCCCTCCACTGCATTAGACTGTCCAAACCAGAATGGACTTTCCTGTAATTTCTTTACGGAACATAACCTGTCCCTCCTTAGTAAGTAAGATTAGTATAATAGGCCAAATCCTGCCGTCTCTTTCACAGCTGTGTAATTTCTCCAAACATATTAGAACCAGCATAGTTCTGCTGTGTGAATTAGAGGGCAGGATGCGTGGCCCCTGGCAGGAAGTCACATCTCCTGTGCTGCATGGGAATGAGGTTTGCAGGGTCATCCCCCCCCCCCCTCCACTTCTGTTGAAGAAGAATTTGGGAGAAGGGTAGTGGTTGACCAGGAGATCAGTGGGAGCTGTGGTTCCACCTGTCATGGACTGGTTACAGAGAAACTAACTACTGCAGCCTGAAGGCTGACAGTAACAACCCTGGCCCAGCTCCAGTGCTACGCTTCTCTGGAGTGAAAGCTATATCCCTGCCACACTGAAACTCTTCACCCCCAGCCTGTAGGACTGTAGTTAAAAACAATTGTCAGAATGTTTAGAGAATGGCGGGGGTGGGGGAAGAAATGTATATTTTCCTCACTCTTCTCACACTCAAAACCAACTGAGCTATTTTTACTCTAAACTTTCAAAATATTCCTACTTTGTGCAGAGAGCAGGTCTGGATAATTTTAGTCCAATAGGTAGGAGTTTTGGAAAGTTATGAGTGACTCAAAATAGGAGTTTGGAATGGAAATGTGTTAGCAACCTTAATTCTGTAAGTTGCTACCATTCTAGCTATAATCAAAAGCCTCAATTAACGCCATGAGATCCACACACACACATCTCGGGAAGTTAAAGTGCAGTTCTGCTGTGAAAAGTGATTCTAAAACTGGCATTCTGGTGTCTTATGTTTATTCTCTCTCCTTTTGTGTATTTCAGGTGTTCAGTTTACAAGTAAAAGGAAGTTTCTCTAACTGCCAGTCCTGAGAACTCAGCCTGGAATCTGAGATTCGCACTGGGTTCTTTCCTTCTCATGCATCATCACTTGTAATAAAGATTTGCCAGTCAATTTAGGCCTTCTAATACATTTTGCAACTTCACTAGCTTCTGATGTAACTGACTGGAATTTAGCAAACCATAATGTTGATAGTACATGAAAAGGAATGGAATCCATCTTCCTTAGTTGTGCTGGTTCTGCACTGCCAACAGAATCAAAAAGCAGCTAAAAACTTACTCTTGTCATTAAATTCAACAGCTATTACTCTGAATACACATAGGTGAAGAAATGGTTGAGCAAAAAGGTGCCATTTTTTCCAGTCACTTTTCCAGACTAGAACCATTTAAGGAAAAGTGCGTGTGAACTATTTGACTTTGAGTTGGGAATGCAGCACTAAATCCATTTCTTCAGTTCTCCTAGACATATCTTTGAATGTTGTGTCAAGGTTCTCACAGTAACTCTAACCTTCAATCCATACATCACTGGGTATTCCCCTATTAGAAGAATTCAGCATATACATCACCAAGATAAGTTTAAATAAAAAGTTCAGCAGAGAAATCAGATTGACCTTAAATATTTTTTATTGCTATGTAAAAATCAGGTCTAAGTGATACAGCATATTCTCCCATGCTTATATACGTACCATTCCCATTCAGACATATGGAAGTTACATGTGAGCATCAATGTGAAAATACATTCTTTTGAGAGTTGTTCTCATTAGTGGCTTTTGTTGAATTACACTCTTTAATACAAATATTGGAATTATTGAGATGGTGTAATTTAATTAGCTAAACAACAAATCTTCTTTATCTTTCTTTTAAAAGATTGGTTATGTTGGCGACACTACTAATTGTTGGAAAATTTCTTCTGCAAGGAATGCTACCAATTTAAAACTGAAATCATTCAGTTTGCCTTTCATCTTAACTTGCTCTTCAAATCCAGCCCTGGGCATCCGTGACTGGAAGTTGCTACTGTCTGACAGCTATTCATTAGGATCTGTTGGTGGTCTCAGGCCAGTTCCTAGTGGACAGGGGGCCACATGACAAAATAAACTTCTTACAATTAGCACTAATTGACACTCTTGTAGGCAGTACTCAGAAGGGAGGTCAAGGATTGAATGAGATGAGGGACTCTCGTTCTTAGAAGTGCTCCCAGAAGATCCGGTCAGAAGCACAGCAGCGGGGGCATGTGAGGAAGCTTACATTACTACCACTGTCGGTGCTGTAGTATTTCTAGGTATAAAACAGAAAATTCGATCTCCAGTGCTTTGATTCCAACACCATTCACCAGTACCTTCTCACTGCCACCAGTCCCATTGTTCACTGCAACAATGAATTGGACCATTTGGGCATTAGGTGAGTGGCAAAAATGCTTCAGTCTGCAATTACACATTTTACTGTCTCTCTGACTTTGTGCCTCACCCTCCTCTGTGCTTCCACCCTGCTTTCACCCTGGTGGGCCAGCTTTCTGAGTAGACTCAAAGGCTGTTGCCATCTTCCACCTTTTTTTTCTTTTAGGAACATTTCCACGTTAAAAATGTGCGGTCGACTGACTGGCTGCCACCCCTTGATGCTAAATCCTCTCTAATCTGGCCTGGGAACACTGAAATTTACAAAGTTAGTTGATTATGCAGCTTCCAAAAATAATTGAGTGCAGCAAGGTAAAAGGTTAGCAAGTGAAGGGAAAAGGCATCTAAACTCCTTGCTATTATTTGTTATTTGCCAACAACTTTCCTGGTGCTCTTACAAGGCACAAAGCGTGAAATTTACCGCTTTGCAGAAGACAAGTACAAAGCCTCTGCGCCACTCAAATGTCACTATTTTGGGATGAAAAAAGGGCCTCGTGCTGGTCTTCTGCACAGTAGTGACTTTCACTCAAAATGGAGGCAGCCATTGCCATGCAGATCTTGTAAGCTGATTGGAACTAGGCTAGCCCAAAGGGATGGAATAATTTGGGAGATGTTTGGGTTCTTTTAACATTTGACTTGGTTCATTTCCTGTGGGCATCGCAAAAGGAGCAAGTCTTCAGAAGGGGGCTCCCTGTGTCAGTCTTGGAAATTTACTGTACACAAGACAAAATATATATATTTTTTAAAATATACTCTAATAAAATGATCATGGAGTATCTAGATGCCCCCAAAAGATTGATAAGGAAACCTGAAGCTTCTCGTCTCTAGATCCCAATTCATACTCAACCTACATCAGTATCAGTAATTCATTGTCACCCCTTATAGCCATCTAGTAGCTTTTGCAAAATGAGATGGTCCATCTGTCTACCCATACTATGCTCAGTACTGTAGTAATCAAGTGCCCTGGGGGTTTTAGTTTTTTAAACAGCAGGTACTGAAGTTAGAGATAATTAAATCAGCAGGTCCAGATAATTTGCATCCAAGGATTTTTAAAGAGTTGGCTGAGGAGCTCAATGGATTTTTCATTTTACTTTTCAATAAGTATTGGAGCACTGGGGAAGTTCCAGAAGACTGGAGGCAAGCTAAAGTTGCACTTATTTTTAAAATAGGGTAAATGAGATCAAGTGAGTAATTATGAGCCTGTCACTCTGACACCAATTCTGGGCAAGATAATGGAGAAGCTGATACTCAATTAATAAAGAATTAAAGGAGGGTTATGTAATTCATGCAAATCAACATGGATTTATGGAAAATAGAACCTGTCAAACTAACCTGGTTATTTTTATTTTTTTACAAGATTACAAGTTTGGTTGATACAGTTAATAGTGTTGACATAATATACTTTGACTTCTGTAAGGGGTTAGACTTAGTAGCACATGACATGTTGATTAAAAAACTAGAATGATATAAAATTAACAGCACACATTAAATAGATTAAAAACTGGCTAACTGATAGGTTTCAAAATGTAACTGTAAATGGGGAATCGTCATTGAGCGGGTGTGTTTCCAGGGAGGGTCCCACAGAGATTAGTTCTTGGCCCTACACTGTTTAACATTTTTATCAATGACCTAGAAAAAAACATAAAATCATCACTGATAAAGTTTGCAGATGACACAAAAATTGAGGGGTGGTAAATAATGAAAAGGATAGGTCACTGATTCAGAGTGATCTGGATCATTTGGTAGACTGGAAGCAAGCAAGCTTTTTGAATTTTAATACTGTTAAATGTAAATGGATGCCATTATATAAACTGTATATGTAATATAAAGGTATGCATCTGGGAACAAAGAATGTAGGCTACATTTACAGGATGGAGGATGCTATTCTGGGAAGCAGTGACTCTGGAAAAGGTTTTGGAGTCCTCGCGAATGATCAGCTGAACATGAGCTCTGAGTGTAATACTGTGACCAAAAAAGCTAATGCAATCCTAGGATGCTTAAACAGGGGAATACTGAGTAACAGTAGAGAGGTTATTTAACCTCTGTATTTGGCACCAGTGCAACTGCTCCAGGATACTGTTTCCAGATCTGGTGCCTTCTCTCAAAGACAGAGTGAGTTATATGTCTATAAAGAACTTACTAAGAAAAAAAACTAAGAAGAAATGAGTTTTGTGTTTAGTACTGAAAGTCACAATGTCCATGGTCATTCTTATCCCTTGCAGAAGCAAGTTCCATAGTCTAGGTGCAGTGCCTGTGAAGGTTCTGTCTCCTTCACTCACAAGCCTTTCCCTGTTGGTTCAATCCTACGAAAAAGAGTTTTAACTGTATTCAATGTGGAGTCAGTGCAGAGAGTGAAGCACCAG